TATTTATATATAAATATATCTCCTTGTATTCACCATGTATGTCCTCCTCTGGTACTCCTCCCATCTTCCCCTAGGCCTGCTCTGAGATTTCACCATTCAGTTCCTCAGTGCCCTATGCTGAAGTTCATCAGATCCATCTAATTTTAAAACATCTGATTTATCTAGGTGCTTTCTAAGTATGCAATTCAGTGGTTTCAGCAACGATGACAATATCTGCTGCATTTCACTGGGGCTGTAATAAACAAAGCACTACATCAGTGACAACGCTGAAATGAATAGAAGTTGTTCTCATGTCCAAACTAAGCTCTCCATGTTTCTGTAATCAACTGCAAAGCCTGGAGTGAGAGAATTCTGCATTTCACAAATGTCTTTGGAAACAGTCTGGGTTGGGTGGTTTTAAATTTCACCTTCGAGGTGGCTTACAATCTTTTCTTTTCACTCCTCTTTCTTTGGTTGCTAAGAGAGGTATACATAAACCTGCTCTTGAGACAGCTTTTTGACAAGTGCTTTACTGCAGGGAGAGGGAGAAGCCAGCTGCAATTCTTGCTACCATATCAACACACCTGCCTTTTTAGGAGCTTACTGCACCAAAGCCATCCTGAGTTTGCTAGGATTTTCTTCAAGGGATTCCTTCATAACTTTAATGTGATTTCTGAGTTGGTCCCGTAATTGTTGCCCCTGGGCTGCTGGATGTATTTGTTCCACTTACACCTTGAAAGAGAGAGGATGGCCTGCTGGAAGTTACCTCCAATCACAACATAAAGTAGTAGGTTGCCACATGTGTTGAGTGCAGCCAGTGGCCGAGAGATGATATAGGCGGAGTGGATTTGCTTCTCCATGTGACAGCTGACTGCACACAACCGTAGTTCAACTCGAGCCACTCGAAAGACGTGCAAGGGGAGGAAGCACACATAGAAAACCATCAGGAGGACAACAGCGAGTCTGCGAGCCTTTCGTTTGTAGCAAACCTGTGTGTGGGGCCCTGTAGCCAAGGTGCAAATAATGAGCACATAGCACAGAGTCACCATCAGTAAGGGCAGGAAGAAGGCCAGGCCAGTCAGTAGCCAGTTATACCACCTGATTGTGCCCAGGTTTTCGGAGCTGGTAAGATCGAGGCATAAGGATCTGTTTTGTGCCTCTTTTGAGGAGATCAAGAAGTTGATGGGGCTGACAGCTGCCAGTGCAATCACCCAAACAGCTGTGCAAGCCACCGCTGTCCACCGCTTCCTCTGGATGTGGTGGAAGAACTTCATAGGGTGGACAACCACCATGTAGCGGAAGGCGCTGAAGCAGGTGAGGAAGAGGATGCTGCTGTACAAGTTGAAGTGGAAGCTGAAGCGGATGAACTTGCACATGAATTCGCCAAAGATCCAGTGCTCCCCACTGGCATAGTAGTGTATCAGGAAGGGAAGGCTGGTGAGGTAGAGCAGGTCTGTGAGCGCCAGGTTCAGCATGATGATGGTGCTGCTCTTCCAAGGCCTCATCTTGAAGCTGTAAACACAAATTGCAATGACGTTTCCCGGGAAGCCCACCAGGAAGATGATGCTGTACATAATGGGGAGGTACAAGGTCTTCAGACCAACTTCCACGTCAGTGCAGTTGGGAAAATCACCTCCAGTGTCTTGCAAGGTGGTGGGGTTGGCCAAGTCATCACTTGTTGTGTTCATGTTTTTTTCTTAGTGCTTAGGGAGGAGAGAAATGCTTAATGTTTGCTGACAGATAAGACCTTCTTGTAGCCTGTCAGAAACAACTAATAACTACATCTTTCCTTTCAACTTCCCATCAGTTGCACTATTAAGGTGCCTTTATTGAATAAGGAAAGGCCTTGGCACTTTGGGGAGAATTCATGCTCATCTAGAGGCCTTTTTTCATATCTATATAGAGATATAATTCGATTTTAAAACACATATTTTCAGGGAAGGGTCTGCACAGGCACAATGAAGCTGTAATATAAGGGATTCCTCACACTGCAGTGTATGATATGAGTCCCCTGGTATTTAAAGTTCACCTTCTGCTCTCATCAGGGGTCAAGTGGAGCAGAAGGACACACTAGTCATGTTGTGTTACTGACCAAAAATATTGAGAAGAATGTCCAGAACACAACTGTTCCATAAACATTATTTGCATCTTTGTTAATTAAGTGAAAAACAGGGCAGATTTTGAAATAGTTCTCATATTCTTTTTGATGCTGAAGTTGATTAACATTTTTCTCCCTGCTCCTTGGAAACAACTGATACAAGAATATTTCATTCTTTCAGTCCATTGGCAAGACTGATGTTGCAAAGAAACAAGTTATTTTTAGACTTGTCATTAGCTGTTAATTTCTATCCCTGTAAAATTTTTAAATGGCGTTTTGCTTAGACAGTAGTCATAGATAGTAGTCTTCTGAAATATCAGAATAAATTATTCCAGCTTTGCAAAGCAGCCATTTGCAAGTTACAACATGGGACTTGAGCAGGATTCAAGGAAAGTAAAGATAGCCTAGTACATAATCTCTACAACAGAAAATATGGGGACACTGAAGCACACGGCAAATAGCTGCTAACATTGCATCCAGTAAGTGCATTTGTGTAAATGCCTTCTTTCTTTTGAAGTGGAGTAAATGTTTTGATGAAAAAAAAATGAAGAAATCTCTAGTGTAATTTTTTCTAGAAGATTGCAGCTTCTTACAGGGTGATGCCTGTCCTCAAATTACTGTGGCCTGGATCTGTTACAATGGATCCTATTGAATCATCCCTTTGATTTCTTGTTCCACACTGAATTTTCTTTATGTAGCTTCTACCCTCACTCACTTATGGGATCTCACAGAGACAGGCTGCAGGACCTGAATTCAAATTTGTGGAGAAGGTTTGGTTCAAATATATTTAAATCACTTTGAAAACTAAAGCTGGAGCTTGAGAAGATGCATGCCAAACACTGGCATTTGTTTTTAAACAGCAAAACAACTTCAAACATCTTCTCACGCCTGGGACAGGGCAGGGGATGGTTTAGATAAATCCAGTGGCTCTAATTCAGTTAAGAAGTAATGCAGCAATACCCTTGTCGCCAGACAAACTGGAAGCCTCTGGTATAGCTAATGGTTAGCCAGGCTGGCAGCAAAGGCCCCATCCTGCAGCAGGAGGTCGCAGCGTGCTGTCTGCTGCTGGAAGCACCAGGGCTGTGCACGCCATGGTGTTTACAGTGCACAGCTATTAAATGAGCTGAAGGGCACGGCTGGGTGCTGCTCCCCATACCACTTTCTTCATGGTTTTGTAGGACTATCATTTTGTCAGCAGCTTTTCTTCTACCAGCCACCATACTGCTGCAGCAAACTTAGAGGGGCTGGAGAGCAAATACCCACGATGGCTGAAGAGTATGGCAGTGGCACTCAGCCATTGCAGTCCCTCCTGACAGGCACATGCTCTCAGGTGCTTTCGGAGCCATCCCCTTTGCTATCAGTGAGGTGTCTGATAGGGCTGGATTCGGCTCAGGGAACGCGGGACTCCCTCCCAGGACAGGCCACCCCCAAACCCAGTGCTGGTTAAAGAAACCTGAGGTGGGGACAAGAAGCAAGAAAAGCACAGGGGTGTGAGAGTTCAGTTATGAACTGCCCTAAGGTTACATCCAACCTAACAGGCTAACAAAGGGATCAGAGAAAGGAGACAGCAAGTCTTTGCTGTTGGCCTTATTATTTTGCTGGCTGAATTACAAATAGAATTTAGACAAAACTTAAATCTAATTAAGGAACAGTTTGTACTGTGGCAGATTTTATCACACTAAGTAATTGTCCATAATGGGACTTCTGCAGCCCAGCTGAGGGCAAATGATATATGCTGTAGACACATAATGAACTTTAAATAAATTATCCAAGAGCAGAACTCATAATAAAAGGGAACTAGATTACTGAAATAGAAACCCTCTTTCAGTCTTAACGGTGGAGTCACTGCGCTATTACATGGTATTCTTTACTGTAACCGATTGATTGGAGTCACTTTAAAAAATGTTGTGATTGCATGTCTTTAATTGCAGTCACATATAAGGGAAACTTGACTGCTCCTGCATTGTGATAATTTAATTAGAGCCTGCTGGAAATAAAAGCCAAATGGCTGCGGCCATGGTGAAGTAACCTAATGCCTGTAATTGGACTATATTTCACACAGATGTGTTGCTGAATAAATTAAATAAGATTTGGCTTTCAGTGTTCATCGTTTCCACTGGCTCAGATTTAAGAGATGCAAGTGATGTATTTAGGGATGAAGATGTGAGCCCTCCTTCCCTTACCCTTTATAATTCAGGGAGGTATCTCTATGCAGAAAGGGTATGTGGATTTAATGTGAGTATTGGATGTAGCACAGAGTTTAATTTGTTCCATGCTTCCATCATCCCTTAACCCTTTGCTCATCTCTCTCCACTTTGCCCTGCCTATATATTCACACCTTTAAATCAAAATATGCATTTTACCTGTAAATCCTCGCTGGTGTCTTCTCTCCTTTTATAGCTGGTTCCTTAAATACCCCACTTGTGCTGGCAGAGTCTGCTTTTAAATCCCATGGGCTTATGCAGTGAGAAAGCCACAGCAAGCCCCCCAGGCTATCAGGCAGGTGGTGGGAACCCTCTGCCTCTGTTCCCAGGTCTTTGCTGGGCGAAGGTGGTGTGGGCTCCACGGCGCTGAGCAAGAGCAGCTGTGACCCCTCTTGCCTTCCTACGGGCTGACTGTCACGTCCCCTGTGGCAGGGCTGTGTTGGTGCCAGCTGTCCTCCTGTCTGGTCTCTGCCGCCTGCGTGAGATGAGGGGACCTGCCCCATGTCACTCGCAAAATCAGTTGGGACTGCCCATAACCTGTCTGGTTTGGCTGGAGCGGTTTGTTACGGGCGCTCCCAGCCCTTTGCGAGGGACACGGGCCAGCAGCCCTCGCACAGGGAGAAGCAGCACCACCACGGTGCCCACCTGAAGGAATCTCTGCTCCCTGGGTCCCAAAGCACAGTATAGGAGAGGTGGGAGATGGGGGGAGAGCAGGGTTTTGAACTTCAGGAGATGCCCAGCAGAGGGCTTGGTGGCTGCTGGGGGCTGAGACCCAACCCTTGCCTCTCAAGGAAGGTGAAGGTACCCATGCTCTCCAAACTGGGAGTTTGGTGGGACCAGCTGCTCCTCCTGCACAGAGGAACCTGGCCCTAAGATGAGCTGGGATTGTGCCACTGGGGCACAAGCAGGGTCTTGTGGCTGGGGGAGGGATCTAGGACCATGTGCTGGTGAGTGCAGCCTGGCTGGAGGAGGGCTTTGCTGGAGAAGGGGATTGCATGACTGACAGACAACTCTCCTGACCATATTACATGGGTAATATGCTTTTCTCCTGACATGACTTGTCCAGAAGTTAGAGGAATGAAGAAGCCTAGGAAGGAAGTCAAACTACGTGCTCCCTTTGCATACCGTTTGAAAAAAATACCCAGCTTGCTGTGTGATCTGGAGCATTCTACAGTCCCCAAATATCCAAGCAATAAAGCAGATGAAAGACTAGCACATCCTTGAACGTGATGGCCAACCCTCAAGAAGAGGCTCGCAGAAATCTCCTTTCCCTGTGGAGAGGGAAGAAGGGGTTTACTCCCTTTGCACAGTGAACTGAAAGGAGCATGGGCCCACCCAGCAGTGCCAGGGTAATTGTGGTGTGGAAGTTAAAGGTTTTGTGGGGTGACAGCTTTCCAGTGTTTGATGCTAGCTGAGACTATGACATTGCAGAGATCTCCTACAGAGCCAGTATTTACATGTTTTGCTTGATCTTCTCTCTGCCTTCCTCTTCAACAGGTTTTAACTCTTGGGCTAGCTGTACTGTGTTGACTTTCACCTTTCACCTTGTTTCAAAGCACTGATTCTTACATCAGTTTCAGTCGTCGTCTTTTTTTTTTTTTTTTTTACCTCTTCATGGAAGAAAACACTTCCAAAAGCATAAGCATTCCAGATTTGATTTTGAATTAAATATTTGCAAACTTCTGTGAACAGGTAAGAAAGTTATTATCTTGAGAGGGAAATCTTTAGATGAGTCTGAAAAGAATTTGAATGTTTTCCAACACTGAATTTAATTTCAGATCTCGTTTGCAGCTATTATTTACTTTCTCATGATGATAAGAGATGTGAACCTGGAAACATGAACAATTATGTACTGCATAATGTAATAGTGAATCAGGCTTTAATTGTTTAGTAAATATAACTTTTAAAATGATTGCATAACTGTCCTGTTTCTTTACCTGGTACCTTCAGTATTTGCCATCTTCATATGAATGACTTTGAGCTTACTGGTCGTACCTAATCTGTTCTCCTTAACTCTTTCTGGTGTAAGTTTGGCCACATCAGCCTTGAACATGAACATTAATTTTTGGACTCCTAGATACAAATATTCAGAAATAAACTGACAGTTGTCAACATATCCCTGAGTAACAGCTGCATGAGCCACCACTGTTTACAAAAAGAGCTGGAACCACTTTTTACCATGTCGCTAGCTACCATATAGTAGTAATTTCAGTACTCTGCCTCATGGAAACTGTACATTCTGCAAAGTGCAAAAACACCAGATCAGGGGTGTGAAGTTGTATGTCTTCAGGAGTCCCAGTTTATACCTACACACATGGATGAATAACCTTCTGCATTTTATTTATAGGTTCTTTTCAATGTATAAAGGATATCAAGTTCGTTGCCC